AAAGGGGGGGGGGGGGGGATTGAGGGAGGTATATGGTGTTTTCAGTTGCTGTGAATTATGATGCTCTGCTCTTGCAATTTCTATAATAGTTCTTAAGCTTGACTCAAATGTTGCCATGTGAAATTTATTTTCTGTGATTTCTCCCTCCAGAATCCTCATGTTGTTCTGCACCATCCTACTTTCACTGTTGGTCAAGGCAGCCAATGTGACTTGTGGGTAGGAGATCCATCAGTTGGTAAATCTTTGTGTAATCTGAAGCACATGGAGTCAGAGGTAAGTATTAAACTTGTATGTTTAAACAAGTTCTAATCATGGTACTGGCATCCCTGTTCAGTTGTGTTGTCTATTTTTTGTATAACCATGTCCAGGGTGGAGAATCAATTACTTTACTTGAAATAACTGGAAAGAAAGGATCTGTCCAAGTGAATGGCAAGTCTTGCACTAAAGATTCCACTGTACAACTAAAGGGAGGTGATGAGGTGGTCTTTAGCTCGTCTGATAAACATGCATATGTATCCTTTGATCATCATGATGTTGGTGTGTTAATACCATTCTGTGATAGTTGTAGGGTGAGTCAATTATATTCCATTTTGCTACATATAAATTTACTGAATGAGTGTGTATCTTCCAACTTCAACACGAGAAACTTTCCTTTAACACACGGTCAGGTTTTCCAACAACTCGTAAATAATAAAGCATCTGTTTCAGACGTGCCACCAGTCAACATATTAGAAGCCCATGGTGGACCAATAAAAGGACTACATATTGATGCAAGATCAGGAGATCCTTCTACTGTTGCAGTTGCTTCAACACTGGCATCTTTATCGAATCCAAGGAAAGAATTATCATTTCGTCCTTCATCATCTCCGAATGATGAGGATGCACAACAAGGTTCTGAATTGCCATCTGGACCTGCTGCTTGTGAAGTGTTAGATAATGGTGTCTTGGATGCTGACATGAAGGACTCCTCTGACAATAATGATGAGCCTATTGTTTCATTGGGTGAGAAGACCACCATTCCATCCCCTTGCGCTGCCAATGAAAACTTGAATATTGATGCTGAGACTGGGAAGATCGTATCTGAAACCAGTGACTTGAGGCCATTTCTACGCATTCTTGCAGGATCAACAGCTCCTGAGTTGGATATAAATTTTAGCATTTCAAAAATCATCAATGAGCATATGGGAGTAAGAGATCGACACAAGGATTCTGATCCTCCTATTTCAGTATCATCAAGGCGTCAAGCATTCAGAGATGGTTTACAAGAGGGAATTCTGGATTCCAAATATATTGATGTTTCATTTGAAAATTTTCCTTATTATCTAAGGTACCGTTTCCAATTAGTTGAAGGCAGCTAAAAATAGCTTTAATTTTGTCTGTTGTTTCTGCTAAACTTTTTTATTTTTTGGCAATTGACTTTCCTGAAGCATTTGCTCTTATGTTTTGACTATGCTTTTCTAGAAACGTCATTTTTTAATTAGCAGTACTTTGGTCCCACTTATCAGTAATTAGATGGATTGAATTTCTGTTTATGTCTCTCTCTTTCCTTATCTTGTCTAAGGAAGTATAGAATTTTGGCTAGTTTTCTATAGGTACTAGAAAAGATGTGGTTTTTGCAAGTGATTGAGTTCAGTGATTTGTATGTTTATTGACAGTGAAACCACGAAGCATGTTCTGATTGCTTCGGCATATATACCTCTGAAGTCTAATAAATTTGCGAAGTTTACGTCTGATCTCTCTACGGTGTGTCCTAGAATCTTATTATCTGGACCTGCAGGTAAATAGCTCATATTTCTGTTGCGTGTTTATGAATATACACATCCAAATTTTTATTCCTTTCAGATTCCACCATTAACAATTTAACTTCTTTCCTTAACAGGTTCAGAAATATACCAGGAAACATTGACCAAGGCACTTGCTAAACACACTGGTGCAAGGCTTCTTATAGTTGATTCTATTCTATTGCCCGGTGTAAGCTTCTATCATAACCCTTCTAATATGCGTATTTGTCTAATTTAGTTCTTCAAGGAGTTCATCACTGTCTTTCTTGTTAATTTGTTTTTACTTTATACTATTGGCTTTTCTAACTCTGTTCAGGGACCAACAATGAAGGAAGCTGATCCTGTAAAAGAAACTTCAAAGCCTGAAAGAGCAAGTGTATTTGCTAAACGGGCTGCTGCTGCTGCACTACATCTCAAAAAACCTACATCAAGTGTTGAGGCAGATATAACTGGGGGATCTGCCGTCAGTTCTCAGGCTCAGCCAAAGCAGGAGGCGTCCACTGCTTCATCAAAAAACTACGCTTTCAAAAAAGGTATTATGCTGTTAATATTTTGTTATCTTTTGCGTTTTTCATTTGGGGGCCGGGGACAGGGGTCAGAGTACCATTACAGTTCATAAAGGTGTCTGGATCATTCAAACCATCCATTAGCCCCTATTGTTGCTGACTGGACCAAAGGATCTTTTTGTTTTTCCCTGGGTGGTGATGAAGTATTCCCATAGGTGGATATCTGGAATCAGTATTATGTATTGTGTTGAATTGTGCTTCAATGTTTTGGCAGGTGATAGGGTGAAGTATGTGGGTTCTTTACCATCAGGGTTTTCTCCTCAAACGCCAATAAGGTAAATGAGCTACCTATCTAAGATCAAATTCCTGTACGACAAATTAAATGCACGCCCTTTTATTTAAAATATTTATGCTATGTATACTGTTGAATATATCACTGTTCATAACCACTGTTCACAACCTTAACGTGACAGAAATTTACTGGA